CCCCCAACCCACACACACACACACCCAAATTCAAAATTTGAATTCAATTTGACTAGTGGGACCCACCTTTGTCAGCGGCAAGAGCGAAGGAGGAGGCACTTCTCCTCCTATATACCCGAGTCGGCCTTTAGGCCGGTACAACTTGAACCGGCCTATCAATACCGCCCTCCCAAAGAATCACCTTGTCCTTAAGGTGAAAACAAGAAAACTGATGTTTCATTCTCTCGTATGGTTCCCACGTGGCATCATAGTCAGGCATATTCTTCCATTTGATTAGCACTTCTTTAGCTCCATCTTCTTTCTGGCGAACCCCCATCAACTCTAAGGGTTCCATAATCACCTCCAAATCCTCAATAAGCGTTGTCGGGTACTCCGAGCTGGCTGTATAATCTCCAATAGCTCTTCTCAGCTGCAACACATTGAAAACCAGATGAATAGTCGCTGTGGGTGGTAATTTCAGCCGATATGCTACCGCTTCAAAATTTTCCTATATTACATAAGGTCCAAAGTATCTTGGAGCGAGCTTCTCATTTCTCTTGTTGGAAACTGTCGGTATGGTCAGAATTTCAAGAACACTCTTTCTCCTACTTCGAACTAGATGCCCTTCCTATGCCTATCAGCTTGTTTCTTCATAATATGTTGAGCTCTCAGTAGGTATTTCTTCAATTCCTTTAACACTTTATCTCTCTCCCCCCAGTACTCCACTGAAGAAACTGGAGTACTGCTACTCCCAAAGTGCACCAAGTGAGGGTCCCTTCCGTAAGACACCTTGAATGAGATCATCTGTCTAGCCGAGTGAAAAGAGGTGTTGTACCAATACTTCGCCCATGATAGCCACTTGGTCCATAGCTTGGGTGTCTCCGACACGAAGCATCTCAAGTAGGTCTCCAAGCTCCTGTTGATCACTTACGTTTGGCCATCTGTCTGAGGGTGGTAAGCGGTACTCTTTAGAACTGTCCGCTAAAACCTGAACAACTCCCTCCAAAAATGACTTAGGAACACCTTATCTCTATCTGATACGATTACCTCTGGTATCCCATGCAATCTGACCACCTCTTTGATGAAAGCTGAAACCACTGTCACCGCACTGTAAGGATGTCGGAGGGGAATAAAATGAGCATACTTAATCTATCCACCACCACTAGAATCACCATGAATCCTTCTAAATGGGACAACCCATCAATGAAGTCCATGGATATCTCCTCTCATACTCGTCCCGATAATGTCAACGGCTGTAGTAGTCCCCCTGGTGACATAGCCAGATATTTGTTTCTCTGACAGATCTCATATCCGGCTACCATCTCCTCTACGTCTCTATGTATTCCCTTCTAGTAAAGCTCGGCAGCTAACCTCCTGTAGGTCTTTTGCACCCTTGAATGGCCCCCAACTGCGCTTCCATGAAATTCCTGGAGTAAGTTCGGGATGTGGATTGAGGTCCTGGACATCACGAGCCTCCCCTTATATAGCTGTCTGTCCCCCTTTACTGAGTACCCTGGGTGGCTACCCCCTTCCCTCAATAAATTCGTCTTGATCTTCCCCAACTCCTCATCCCTTGAGCTCTCCTCCTTAATGGCTTCCCAATCCAACATCAAAGGAACAGACACTGCCACTATCTCTAGCTCTCCTATACATCTGGACAAGGCATCTGCCGCCTTGTTCTCCCCTCCTGGTATGTACTAGATTTCAAAATATACCCCACCAATTTCGACAGCTATCTCTGATGCTCTTCAGTCACCATCCATTGCTCCAATAAGTATTTCAGGCTCCTCTAATATGTTCTGACAATGAAATGCCTACATAATAGGTAGGGTCGCTATTTCTGGATAGCTAAAATGATAACCTTCAGCTCCCTCTCATAGGCTGATTTTAGCCTGACTCTGGCTGCCAACACCTAGCTGAAGTAGGCAATGGGTCGCCGATCTTGCATGAGTACTGCCCCCAATCCGTATCTTGAAGCATCTGTCTCCACTATGAAGGCCTGAGTGAAGTCCGGTAGAACTAAGACGGGTACTGTGGTCATACCCTTCTTTAGTTTCTCAAATGCTATTGTGGATGCCTCTCTCCATAGGAATCCATCTTTTTTTAACTGCACTGGTAGTGTTCATGCTATAGTACTATACCCTTTTACGAATCTCTTGTAGTATCCCGTCTGCTCTAAGAATCCTTTTAACTCCTTCAGATTCTTAGGTAAGGGTCATCTCAACATAGCCTCCACCTTTGGTTGATTGTTGCCACCCCTTGGACATGATATGATCCAAGTACTCCACACTGGTCTGGGCAAAGCAGCACTTCTTCAGGTTGACCCTCAGCTAATGCTTCTGTAGAACTCCAACTACCAACTTCAAGTGCTTCAAATGCTCTTCCTCAATTTTGTTGTACACCAAGATGTCATCAAAAAACACCAGCACAAACTTCCGGAGATACTGGCTGAACATCATATTTTTCAGTGACTGGAAAGTAGCAGGGCCGTTGGTAAGCCCAAATGGCATAACCAGAAACTTATAATGCCCTTCGTGTGTCTGGAACGCTGTCTTTGAGATGTCTTCCTCCCTCATCCGGATCTAATGGTATCCCAACTTCAAATCCATTTTGGAGAATATCAATGCTCCATACAGTTCATCCAAAAGCTCGTTAATCACCGGAATGGGAAATTTATCTGGTACAGACTCCTTATTCAACCCCCCGTAATCCACACAAAACCTCGAGCTCCCATCCTTCTTTTTGACCAGTAATACTGGGCTAGAGAAAGGACTTACACTTGGTCTGATGATCACAGCCTCCAACATCTCCCTAATCAGCTTCTCAATTTCATCCTTCTGAATTTGGGGGTAACGGTACGGTCGTATACTAATTTGGTGACACCCCCTCCTTTAGAAGAATTGCAAGCTCATGTTCTCTGATGGTGGTAACCCTTGAGGTGGCTGGAACACCTCACTGTAGTTCTACCAAATATCCACCTCCAACCTCCTGTATGGTTCTGATCATGGACTTGAGAGATACTCCCGCTCTAGACAGCCCGGCATCTCCATGTATCACCATCCCCCCCCCCCCCCCCCCCCCATTCTCCTTCCCCCCCCCCACCGGTTACATCCTTAGTGCTCCCCAATTTACCTTGGTCTCCCCCATGGTTTGCAGTCATTTCATCCCCAAGATGACATACGTACTCTCCAATTCCAAGGGAAGAAAATCCTCCCTCACCTCTATCCCCTGAATGGTCAACATCATTCCCCTACAAACTCCTCTATCCATTTCAACCTTTTTGGTGCCCATCATCACCCCGTACCCTCATGTATCCAATAGTTTCACCCCCAATAGATCAACAATCTAGGTGGAGATAAAATTGTGGGCTACCCCACTATTTCAACACTACTACATCCCTATCTGCTATCTCTCCCTTCACATTCATAGTGTGATTCAGAGTGAATCTCACTACTGAGTTTAGGGAGACTTCTGCTACATCCAAATACAACTTCTACTTCTCTTCCGTCTCTAACATGCTTCCACCTCTCTCTTCAGCTTCCTCGTCATCACAGACGGTGAGAACCTGAAGAGTTCGGTCCTTACACCTATGCCCTGGCATGTACCTCTCGTCGCATCTAAAACACAACCCCTTCGCTCTTTTTTCTTGTATTTCCTTCTCCGCCAGCCTTTTGAAACTTCCCCCATTTCCCCATCTAGTTCTCTCTCTTGGCACCTCCTTCATACTCCCTGGTGCCCTCCACCAACTGGGCTAGCTCCATGACCTCCCCCAGATCTCTTGGCCTCATCACTCTAATCACTGCTTGGATCTTGTGATTAAGTCCTTTCATAAAGCTTCCCTCCAGCACCGTCTCCGAGAGCCGATCCAGTTTGCTGGCCAAGTACTCGAACCTGTCACGATAATCTGTCACGGTCCCCTCCTGGGTCAAGGCAAAGAACTCATAGAAGTCTCCTCTCCTATCGATTCGAAAATGTTCCTGTGAGCACTCCTTGAACTCTCTCCAGCTCCTGATGGGTTGCCTCATGTCCCGCCATTGGTACCAAGCCCATGCCTTTCCCTCCAAGCATAGTCCTGCCGTGTCAGCTTCTCTTCCTCTATCAGCCCGTTGACGGAAAAATACCGTTCCACCTTGTAGATCCAACCATGGTCGTCCTCGCCCTCTAAGATGGGCATCTTCAGCTTTCTCACCTTCGGGTCACCCCAATTGCCTTGGATCCTCCATATCCTCCCTTGCCACGAACGGGAGGTGCTCCCCAACTGTCACAATCTTGCCTCTGGCCATCATAACCGTATTCATCATCAACTTCCCCTCTCCTTCTTTCAAATGCGGTACCTCGGTGGTGGAAATCCCCCATTCTTCCCACAAAATCAGCACCCCTCTTTTCGTAGCCCATACTCATCTCCTCTCTAGAAAGTGGTTCTAGAGGTGGTATGCCGTCCTCTCCCTCAAGGATCTCCACTTCCGGATTTTTCCTCCCCTTAAACGGGTTCGGATTCCCTCCTATACCATGGCCGCCAGTGGTCTCCCTTGCTTCCGATGTCGTCAGATTGGTCTTAACCTCTAGTAATTTCTTCAACATCTCTTTCATCAAAGTGAACTTCCCTTCCAACCTTTCATTGTTGGAGGAGATTTGATTTTGAAAATCAAAGAATTTTCCCTCCAAATCTGATTTTAATTCCCCAATTTCACCTTCCAACACTTCAACTTTCTTTCCGGCCATCCTTCTTCCCAAGATATGCGAGAGGATCTTCTTGCGGATGAAATTCCTTTGCTGAAATTTCTGGATTTCAGCCGCCAACGGTCCCAAGATAATGCTCTGATACCAATTTGATAGGAAATATATGAGTTCGCAAGTAAGCCTAAGGAAAAAACTTGAGTTCACAAGCAAACCTATCACTAATTGGCGAAAACAGCGAGAATAACGTAAAATCTGGACCAAATCAGCGACAAAACTTTGTATTGCAACAAGGAAATCAAAGCCAAAGAAACACAAAGCAAGATATAAGTGATCCTCAATTCGAGAGAAGGATCGTTCTCTCCCAATCTCTAGACAAAGCAATCTAGAGCCAAAACACCAAGGAACTCCTAGAGAAACTCAAATCATGCATAACCTAACCCTAGAACCTCTCATCCTCTTTAATACATAACTTCCCTTATACAAATTCCCTCCCAAACCCTAGAGACCCCGCCCCCCCCAATTCAAAATTTGAATTCAGTTTGGCTAGTGGGGCCCACCCATGTGGGCGACAAGAGCAAAGGAGGCGGCACTTATCCACCTCCTTTATACCCGAGCTAGCCTTTGGGCCGGTTCAACTTGAACCGACCTATCATTTTCCCTTGCTCCCGTTTTCACTCTCTCGGTCCTTTCCCGTCTCCCTCTCTCTCAAATTTATTAGATGAAATCCCTTCTCCTCCGTCTCTAACCGATGAAGCCGGCAACAATACCAAGTGATAGAGCGGCTCCCTTGTCTTCCTGCACAAGGACCAACTTCCGTTTCCTCGCGACACTAATTGACGGTTACTCTCCTTCGCACCTTCGTCTTCTTGCTCTTCTTCATCTTCACTATTACGACCAGCCGGTTTTGGGATATTACAAGGATCCTTTATATGCTGCTATAAAATCTGTCCTTAAAAAATTATAGCCCTCTTTAGAGAATTCAAACTCTTGTCGTCTTCTTCAAAAAGAGCGCATTATCTTTGCAGTTAATTATTCCCATGACTTTTACTTTGCCTGCAACCTGGTTCCCTTGCTGCATCACATATTTTTACTGCGTCTATTTGGTGAGATTCTCTTTGAGTTGTTTGCAACTGTCAAAATAGGAATGCATGCATGAATAGATTTTGGGCATCTGTTTGTTAAAATCAACCAAGGGACAGAAAATTAGGGTTCTGGAAACTTGTTGAACAAGTAGATTTTTGTTCCTGGCTCAAAACAAGAAGCTTTTAAATATTAACATTTGGCTTAGAGATGTTATGAGATTCATATTTCAAGAGCACCTGAAGATATAGAGATAAGCCTGCAGGACCATTTATTCCATATAAAAGTACAGTTTTATTTTTTTTCCCTGCATCTTAAACAGACTATTAAAAATTTGAATTATTCATTGTCATATTTTTGGTTATATTTTTATCATGCTTAGACTCTCGTAGTAGTTTCTTGTGCTTCGTCTAGCCAATGAATGAATATTCCTATTAAGATCCTCATGTCAAACTTTCAAGTGTTTATTTGTTTGCCAAATTTAATCCTTGCCACTTTAAACATTGCAGATCTGTTGTTAGTCAAGTAATAACAGGATATCTTCCTAGTCTCATTCTTCAGATATTTTTTTCCATTGTGCCTCCAATCATGAAGATTTTCTCCACAATGCAAGGAAATATCTCCCTTAGTGGGATTGAGAAGAGTGCATGCAGTAAAGTGCTTTGGTTTACGATATGGAATGGTTTTTTTGCAATTGTTCTCACTGGATCTGTTACAAGCCAAGTGCAAATATTCTTGGAACCAAAGGATATTCCTTGGAAGCTAGCTGTTTACGTGCCAACTCAAGTGAGTTTATTTCCTTTTGTTGTTTTGGAGAAAAATGCCAAAATGATTTCAGGCTATTTATTGGGGTTCGTTTTATTCGTGTAGATTACATAATGTGTACAATTTAATCACTTCGCTTCTCAAATATTATCCAAATAGTTTGTTGACTCCTCAAATCTTATGGAATTATTTTGGATCATATTTGAAGAGTCAATGCATTAAATTGAATATTTGTAGTTTGGAACTAAAATGGCCTCATACATTTAATCAAAGAATTATTTTGATATTTTTTTCACTGTTTTGTTTACAAGAATTTTGCTAATGTTTATGCTGTTTACACTTATCTTACTGCCATTATTACGCTGGAGAGATGTTTTTTTTTTTTTTTTTCACTTTTATGCTTTACTGTTAACATGGAAGTAAATAAAATATAGATTATTGTGGGAAAGTTCTAAGGTTGGACAGATAGGTTGGTAAAATAGTCGATTAAAAAGTTATTAACTTAATATATTCTCATAATTAAGAATGTTTTCTATTTTATAATCTTTCGTTTTGTTCTCGTCTGCCTATCTATAGGCTCTGTATTCAGTCAATAAGATTATGCATGTTCAAGATATATGTAAGGCTGAATTTACTTGGTGTGACTGCCTTTCACTCCATAGGTAAAGCCACTTTACATTTGTGGGCTTCGAAAATTCGGCTCCGGCCTCCGCCCGCACTGTTTGTTTTTTTTTTCCGGGAGAGTTTTAACGAATTTAGTTTCGGGGTAAATTTTGGAAGGCATATGGGTTTGTAGATAAGACACTACCCAGAGATTTCACCCTCATTTTGCGAGGACTTTATTATCTAAGTTCTGGTTTCCTAAGGCTCAAGCCCCTATAGTTAATTACCCATCTCAATCACGAGAGAGAATTTTCGATTAAGGCTAGTCGTCAATCAGATACGTTATATCCGAAGAGACTTAGTATCAAGTGTATAGTAGCAACATAGGCTTGAGAATTGGAAGTTTGAAGGGTTAAAAGATTTGATATTTAAAATAGAAATTTTCACCATCTTGCACTTAAAGCGGATGGTGGAGGAATGGATGATAGACCCAATCAATATCCCATGATTCCGTCGTCTCGGGCCATCATGGTCCCTGGTCTACTTAGTTAGAGGAGGTAGTCGACCCAACCTGGCAGAAGGATCCTTGTCGGCAGTCATGTGTTGCTTTGTCCAAGGGGACCTTATATATAGAACTGGGGTGAGTATTTGTCTAAGGGGACAAATTTGAATCAACCTTAGCTAACAGAGGGCTTTATGCCCTATCGATCATATCTTATTAATTCATATCTCAAGGATTTGATGTCATTAAGGAACGTATTGGCTCTGGCCATAACCGGTATTTCGTGGTGCCATTTGGCGGCAAAACCACTCGGTTCAGAGGGCCCCGGATCATAACAGTTTATCCTGCGGTGCCATTTGGCGGCCAAAATCGTTGGTTAGATGACACGTACCACGTCCTTACTGGCAGGAGATTGTTTGAGAATGGATCATAGTGATATTTTCAACTAGGCATTTGGCTCTTTATAAGCTGAAGTAGTTTTCATTTTGTCCAGCTCAACCAACTGCTGCGGAGGGTGGATGGATTTTGCTTTAAGTGTTTCATGGTTAAATTTCATTTTAAATATCTAGATTTTTGGGATTTTTCTTGGAGTTTGGATTTTCGAGCATTTGGATGGAATTTGAAAGTATTTGTGAACCCCTCCGGTTGAGATTTGCATTCAACACGGCTATCATCAGGGTGACTTTGAGATCACTTGAAAATATTTAAATATTATAGGAGCTTGAGGGCATTTTGAAATATTTGAAAGTAATCCCTCCGGTTAAGATCTGCATTCAACACGGCCATCATCGAGGTGTCTCGGATCATTTCCATTTTTTAATTGAACCTTGTCGACTCTGCCAATTTGTTGATAGAGGATCGGGTTCGTCATAGGCTTTGTGCCTTTATTAGTGAATTATCATTGTTATAGGCCTTGAAAGTTTAATATGAATGTATTAAAACAAATATACTAATCGTCGTAATCGTATATTTGTTGATGATTCGAACCATGTCAACTCATATTAATCCGTATAGAAGGATTTGGTTCGAACTTGAATTCACTTATCAACCCGCGTAGTATTCCTAGACATCACGTGTGTACCAATAACACACTCGTCGGGCCCATGCGGGTGTTTGGGGGCATTTTGTAGTTATTTGTTGAACCTTGTCGACTCCTATCTACCTGCTTAGGAGGATCGGATTCAAGTTTATTGACCTGCGCAGCATCCCTAGACGTCACATATGTTCCTACAACATACTCGTCGGGGCCCATGCGGGTTTATAATTGTATTTACCCCTTGTGTACCTATGTGCATACAAATTATGGTGCATGTGCGGGGGTATTTTGTAATATTTATAAACGCCTTATGTCCGCTTGTATGAATGTTGTGGATTCGGTGACGTGTTATAGCAACTTCTAGATTGAGTTGTTTGCTGCTTTGTACAGGCAGACTGTCGTGCACTACTTGTTTCTTTCTGCATGTGGATTATAGTGCACTAATAAATTTCCTTCTTTTGGATATAGGTGAATCGTAGCATTGGCACCTGAATCTCATGTGATATTTCATTGTTTTGATACAGACTCCCTTTTCTCATTCGTCGGAAGGTTCTTCTGGACTTTGAAATCAATGACCGCTGCTTTGGAAAGAACTTCTTTTAGGCTCTTTAGTATAGTAGACTTGTTATTTCCGGTGTTTGTGGATACCAGAGCTATTTTCTTCCTGAGTATAGGATTAAGAAGAAATTTTGGAACGCCGGAAAATTTAGTTCGAATTTGTTCAAACATCTCTTCCATTCTGTTGTTATCTACAAGTATCATATCAAGTATTACTACTTGCGTTGGGTGTTATATGCACGACAAATCTCCTACAGCAACCCGCAGGAGTTCAAGTGCTTGTTCAGGGTCTTCTTAAGTCCTTGTGAAACTTGAAGTTGTACAGTTCGAGTTCAAGTGCTTGTTCAGGGTCTTCTGAAGTCCTTGCAAGTTCAATTTCATGTTCACTTGATATTTAATTCTTGTTCAAACTCGAACTTATTTTATTTGGTTTAGATCTTGATTAATCATTTGAGTTATATTCAAATACAAGTCCTTGTAGTTCATGCTCAAGTCCACCAGTTCGTATGCATCTGAGTCCAAGTCAGGTCCAAGCGCAGTCATATGTTCACCTGAAATTTTGGCAGCCTCCCGGTGTCTCCCCCTTTTAGGGGAAAACTACGAAAAACTGGGCCTCCCGCCACGTTAGAGAAAAGCGTGAGTGGTTGGTGCCCTCGGACGAGGACACCGCGGCCGTAAAATCTTTGTTCCCCGCCACGCCAGAGAAAGGCGTCTTCTGTACCTGTTAAAAGAAAAGCTGTTGTTTCCCCGCAGGTACAGAGCTGCGTACGGGTACTTAAAAGTTGTCTCAACTATGCTAAGAAAAGCGTGCATAAAAGAAGCGGGTCGAGTTCGGGTCCGAAAGACCGACCCGTTTGCAAAAACGGGTCTGGTTCGGGTTGTGTTAAAAAATATCAGGTCAGATTCGGGTTTGACCCGAACCCGACCCGAAACCCGCTTTTGACAACCCTAAATCGAAGTCCTTGAAACATCACCCGTGTGCAAAACGAATTATGTTGATGCGTCTAAAATTTTGAAATTACCAAAGAACCCTGCAATTGATTCAATCGAGCGCGATGAGAATGGTGAACAAGAGACATGTTGTCGGAGAAGAGTCACTTGAACATTGCCCTCTCATGACATAGATTGGCCAAATTGCTTAGAGCATTGAAATTATCAAAAAATTGTCTTTCGCGCCCAATTCGATTGAACTCAACAGATGTAGCATCGTGTAGAACCACTCAATTATTGCTCGTTTTACAGAACAAATCACAATGATGTCAAAAATACCCATAAATGACATATCATATCGCCAAATAGCCACATGATGAAAAAAGGATAAACTACTTACTTGACTTTGTACAAGATGTCGCCTATTCACAAAATGGATTGTGTCAACACATTCAGAGCATTGAAATTACTTGGAAAAGATACTCATATTGCGAAATTACTTGGAAAAGATACTCATATTGCCTGAGTTATCACATGAAGTTGAAAACACAAAATTTGCTTATAGGTAAGTTGGCACAAATTTTTAGACGCACTAGAGACGAGGAATTATATGAGAATATCATTACAATATCATGATAATTCGGGACGGTGGAATTATGTGATCTTGATTGGGTTCATTATCATTCCCCCACTATGAAGGGATAAATGTTTCAATCTTAAATCAAATTGTTGCTACTATAAGCTAAACATTTAGCTTTCGCTGATTAGTCTTAATAAAAAATTCTCTCACATTACTGGATGTAGTGATTAACCATAGAAGCCTGTGCATATGGGGAACCATAAAGCTCTTACAAAATGGGAAAAATCTTCAGGTCAACATAATTTGCATTCTAAAAATTTAACTTGAAAAATATAAAACTCTCTCATTAGAGCTGAGCCACGAATTTTTGGAGCCCATAGGTTTAAGTTCTCTTTTGTTAAAGGTCATTTAATTCTTTTCTTGGAAAGTTTGGCATTACTTATTTTAGCATCATAGCACTTGTTGCTTGTGCACTGACCAACATTTGCATCAATCAAACCAACATTCTCGCTTCTGCAGTAAGTTGATTCATTCTACTTAAGTGATATTCTTCAAACAGCTATTGAGTCATTCTTCAAGCATACCATCCAATCGTCTATTGGAAACCAAGTTCCAACATGATGGCAAATGGACAATTGTTGATTTAAGTGCCTTGTGCTATAATTGACCAGCTAATATTTGCAGCCGTTAGGCTAAACAATAAGTTTGAAGGATACTAATATTTTTTTCTTTGTTTTTGTTATGTAGGCCTCCTTTTATATAGCCTATGTTGTGACATCCTGGACTAGTTTATCAAAAGAACTCACACGTGTGATCGCTCTTCTTGGTGATTGGATAGGTGGTTGTTCTGGATGCTTTGACAATGAACTGCAAGCGCCCTCCATGACCTATCACAGCGAAATTCCCAGAATCCTGCTATTTCTACTTATTGGGCTCATTTACTTCTTGTTATCTCCATTGATTCTTCCATTTATATTGATTTTCTTCTGCATTGGGTATATCATCTATCGAAATCAGGTATGGCCGTTCTTTATTCTGAAAGATTTATTGTCAAATTAAGTTCTAATTTAATCACTGTTAATTCACCATAATTTGTTCATTGCACTAGCTGTTTCTAAGTTCCCGTAATATTCCTAACTTGGAATAGCATTATAATTCGACCATCAATCACTTGGAATTGATAGCAAAGTTGCCTTTGATCTTCAAAGAGAGGCAACATGTTCAAATTCTTTGGAAAACAATTTGCATGATCCGATCATTGGCCCACCATTAACTGGTATTGACTTTGATCTCCAACGAGTAGGTCAGAGGTTCAAATTACCTCTGACAAACAAATGAATGCATCCTCTGATAATATTCATCATCTTTTGTCTTTTATTGAATAGATCCTCAATTGTTCCCCCAATAATGATGTCTAGTTGATGAAAATTTTCTAACCATTCAAAATAAAAAGCAACTATGAGAGAGAATTTCTATGAATGCTACATGCAAATTTTATATATTTCTGCAACATATGATAGTGTGTCAATGCGTTTCCATTTATATGCTAGGGAAATTACTAAAATACACCCTCCTAATGTGATTTTCTACCCTGTGCTTGTGCAGCTATTAAATGTGTATTTACCGAAGTATGAAACTGGCGGACAGTTTTGGCCTATAGTGCATAATTCAACTATATTCTCTCTAGTACTTATGCAGGCCATGGCCTTTGGGATATTTAGTTTGAAGAAGCTTCCGCTTGCTTCAAGTTTGCTTTTGCCTCTTCCTGTGGTTACACTTTTATTTCATGGTTATTGCCGAAAACGGTTCGAACCCGTCTTCCAGACTTTTTCAGCTGAGGTAATTTATTTTATTTATGTTCCTGGATGTACCTACAACTATTAATGCAAATCAACCTGTGTTTCCTTGGATTAAATGGAGTTCTTCGGTTTTTTAAAAAGTTTTATTGAAGTTCACTTTTTTATTAATGCTTGAGTATATTTGCAGGAAGCATGCAAAGAAATAAGCTTAGTAGGTAAAATAAAATTATTTAAAACTTTGTATTTTTTTAGAATATGGCTGATGAACCACAAAGAAGCTGAACTTTCATGAATTAAAGTTTCGCACACCATTTGGGAACATAAAAAATTTTTAAGCTTAATGAATTTTCTGATGGTTCTATCTATTTGGAATCGAATCCGTAAATATTATACTTTTTTTTTGTGTAGAAATTGACGTCAATGCAAGGCTGTTTTAGTTAATTGAACTTTTTGTTGCGCCAAATGAAATGCCCTAGTTAGCCAGTCTTGTTGTATATAATTATTGCACTTTTTCTTGTTAAATGGTCATGTGCGCCTTTCTGCATTAGATTTTTGGTACCCATGCATTGCATGACTGGTGTATTACCGGGATTTTCTCTTTTTGAAATGGGTATGATCAGTCATCCAATTTCTCATCCTTTCAATGTTTAAAATTTGTTTGTTGCATATTTATAATTTTAGTTAACTAGTTGCTAATGTTGCAAATAAGCCAAATAGAGTTAATGATAAAATAGTCCCTAGACTTTCTAGATGTGTCCATTTTGGTCCTAAATTTTGTTAGGGTTTCAATTTAGTCTCACGACTCACAAAATTTGAACTAATTTGTTCCTACTGTCAGCTATGTTGTTTCTTTGGATAGAATTTGGTGAAGGAACACTTTTCATTTGAGTTCTGGATGATATAATAATTATTAAAATTATTTAATATTATCTAAATTATATAATTATACAAATATGTGGCAAACATTAAGCAGTACTAGCCCAAAGTGTTTCAACTTCAATTTAGATTTGTCCAATGAATCCCCAAGCTGAACTAGAGCCATAAGTTTGCAATTGTGCTTTACCTTGGCCATTTGGGTACTAATAAAAGTTATGGTGTCAAATCAATTGATGCTTAGGCTATTCTAATCGAATTAATTTGTAATTGAGCCATTGGCGATCAGCCACATTGATGGTTGCTTTTGATCCTCAACTAACCCCACCACTGACTAATACTTTCTAGCGTCCAAGGCATACCCTACTCAACAATAATCCACTTTTTTTTTTTTAATCCACTTCTATATTTTTATTAGATGGCTCAAAATATATTATGCATAACATGACTTGGTTTGGTTTGGTTTTCTCGGTCTACCAAAACCTTTTAGACAAACCCAATTTATCGATTTATGTAAGTTTCAAACCAAAACAAAACTAACCTCACTGAACCTAAAGAATAAAGTTTTTCGGGGTTTGGTTCAGTTTTTTAAGTTTCAATGATTTTTTGTAGACCTAAACAAAACTATTTTTTGTTCCCTTTTCAATCTGTGTTCTCCTACGTATTCGTATTAAACTTGAGCATTAAAGGCTTCTTGCATCCACCCTCATGACATGGACCTCTCTATCTTCTACTGTGTGCGATGAAAATGCCACCTTAGTTTTATAGACGAGAGTAAGTGATGCATTTTAATATTTTCTTGCATTATTTGTTTTGAACAATACTAGTTATGTTTTCTATTTTTTGTTTTATTTTTATGCTATCCAATGATGGTGGAAAATCCTATGATCATGGTAGGAATTAGTTTGGTTTATGCTTGCCTTGGGTTTGCCGGTTTTGGGGTCCAACTTGTCCTTTGGGGCTATTTACTGATTTCGGGTGGGCCTGGGCTGTTTTCGGTTTGAGCTTTAGTTGTTGAAATTCTAGTGGTGCCAGCTCATTATTATCAAGTGGAGGTGTAACTCATTATGAGCTGATATTTGGTTATGAAATTTAATGTTTAGGAGCTAGATTTGGTGAGTGGAACTTGTTCTTTCATATTCTACTTGAATTGGGGCTGCTGCAGTTTTTTTCTCTGGATTTATCTTCCACGGTTTGCTGCTGCTGTTGACTCCTCGGTTCTCTGCCCCTTTACTGCCGTGACTTCCCCCTTTTCTCCCGTGGAATGACTTTGGCTGGTCCCGATTTTTGGCTCCTGGTTTCCTGTGTTTAGCTGATTGGAATCGTGGCCTCCTCTTTGAGAAATGCTGTGACTCTTGGGATTTCAGCAAGGTGACTTTTGGCCTTTCATTTCTATTATTTTTATATGGGGATTTGAAGGGTTTTTGGGCTGTTAAGTTTCCCCTCTATATATGAGATGCTTTGTGATGAAATAGGGTGGTGAATATTAAGAGCAAAGTTGCTATAACTGCGGGTTCTTCTTGGAAAAGTTTCTGAGCTTTGTCCATTCCCTCTTCTACCTCTTGGAAGGCTTGCGAGCTTCTCCACCATTCGTCTGGGCTTCTAACCTCTTTCTTCTCTACGCAAGTTTTACTTCACCTGTATCTTTCTTCTAGTTTCGTTGGTAAAGTTTGTTGGCTGTTTTGGTGGATTTGTTGGTTGTTTTGGTGGCATTTGCTGGAGGAATTTGGTAGGACGTTGGACCCCTTTGCAGTGGTGGATTTGTTGGCTGTTTTGGTTTGCATATCTAAATTTTATCTGAATTATATATTCCTACAATCGGTGCATGTGAGGAGTCCTCTTGTAGGATGTTCTGAGGATAGCGTTGTTTGTTTTTTAGTTTGTTTTTTTTTTGCTAACTTTTTTTGTTACTTTGGTTTTTTGGATGATCCCTACTTTTCTATTCTGAATTTTTTAGTGGTTCATTTAGTCTATTGTGTTCTCCAAGAAGTGTCTTAAAGTTATATAAAGTGAGTCTTGATTTACTTTGTTTTCTCTTTGTGTTTTGTTTCAAGTTGAATACATCAGTAAGCTAGTACACACTAATAGTTGTGAAGAATTTTATTTTGTTACAATTGGAATGAAGGCTAGTGCAAGGACTTTCTTAACCGAAGTGATATGGTTTTGAAGTAAATGTTCTATATAAATTTAAGTGTTGGGTGATAGTCATTAATAATTGAGTTGAGTATGACTTGAATGAGAATGCTTAGTTTAATTTATTTTAAAATTAAAAATGGATGAAAAAATGATTGCATTAAAGAGATGTGACTATTGTACAACCAACAACAACAAGCCTTTATCCCAATATGTGGGGTCGATTACATGAATCCTTTTTCTCCGTTGTGTCATGTTGAGGGTCAAATTCTCATCTAAATCTAATAAAGAAAGGTCATTTCTACTTTTTCTGACCAAGTCTTTTTAGGGATACATCTACCTTTTTTAATATTTGTCAAATCTAATACATCTACTTTCCTAACTGGGTCATCGGAAGTGTGGGCTCCGAAAATTCGACCCCGGCCTCCACTCGCTTTTCTTTTTGTTCGGCGAGGGAGTTTTAACTAAATAAGTTCCGAGGTAAATTTTGGAAGGCAGATGGATTTGTAGATAAGACACTACCAAGAAATTTCGCCCTCATTTTGCGAGGACTTTATGATCTGAGTTCTGGTTTCCTACAGGCGCAAGCCCCTATAGTTAATTACCCCTCCCGATCACGAGAGAGAACTTCCGATTAAGGCTAATCGTCAATCAGATACGTCATATCTATAGATATGTAATATCAGGCATATAGTAGCAGCATGGGTTTGGATTTTTGAGAACTGGATTTGGATTTGAGAATTTGAAAAGTTTGATATTTAAAATGAAAATTGCACCATCTTGCACTTAAAGCGGATGGTGGGGGAATGTATGATGGGCCCGATCAAGATCCCATGGTTCTGTCGTCCCGGGGCATCGTGGTCCCTGGTCTACTTAGTCAGAGGAGGTAGTTGACCCAACCTGACAGAAGGATCCTTGTCGGCAGCCATGGGTTGCTTCGTCCAAGGGGATCTTGTAGACCTGGGATGGGTATTTGCCTAAGGGGACAAATTTGAATCCACTTTAGCTAACAGAGGGCTTTGTGCCCTATCAATCATATCCTATTGATTCATATCTCAAGGATTTGATGCCAATAAAGAGCGTATTGGTTCTAGCCATAACCGGTATTTCGCGGTACCATTTGGCGGCAAAACCACTCGGTTCAAAGGGCCCCGGGTCATAACCGTTTATCCTGCGGTGCTATTTGGCGGCAAAACCGTTGGCTAGAGGACACATACCACGTCTTTGCTGGCAGGAGATTTGTTTGAGAATGGATCCTAGTGATATTTTCGACTAGGCATTTGGCTCTTTGTGAGCTGAAGTAATTTTTTTATTTGTCCATCTCGGCAAACTGTTGGGGAGGGTGGATGGATTTTGCTTTAAGTGATTGATGGATTTATTTCAGATTTAAATATCTTGGAATTTGGGATTTATTGGATTTTGGACTTTGTGTGTGGACTTTTAAAATATTTATGAAATGGACCCCTCCGGTTGAGATATGCATTCAACACGGTCATCATCGGGGTGTTTGGGGTCATTTCCATTTGTTTATCAAACCCTATCAACTCGACCGAGTTATTGGTCGAGGATCGGGTTTTCGTAGGCTTTATGCCTTTGCTCATGAATTTTCTTTGTTGAAGGCCGAATATGAATGTACAAAATAATATTCTAGTCAACTTTCGTGACCGTATATTTATCCGATATCTCGAACCCTGTCTACTCCTATTTATCCACTTAGGAGGATCGGGTTTCATAGGCTTTACGCCTTTGTTTGTGATTTTTCTTGATTGTAGGCCTTGAAGGCCTAATATGAATGTATTGAAACAAATACACTGGTCGCCACAACCGTGTATTGGTTTAAAGGTTCGAACCTTGTCGACTTATATTGATCCGTTTAGAAGGATCAGGTTCGAACTAGAATTCACTTATCGACCTGCGCAGCATCCCTAGGCGTCACGTGTGTACCAATAACACGCTCGCCGGGGCCCAAGCGGGTTACGGTTGAATTTACCCCTTGTGTATCTATGTGTATACAAACTGCGGTGCACTTGTGTGGGGGTACTTTGAAATATTTTGTAATTGTGCAGGTAACAGTCATTTGAGTGCGCACAACTTTTCATTTGAGGGCTTGTACACGCCTTCTGTCCGCTAGAATGAGTATTGCGGATCCGGTGGCGTGGCGTTTTGATGTTGACTCCCCTTTTCTCATTCACCGGGGACGGGACTTTCTGGACTTTAGAGTCAATGACCGTTGGTTTGGAAAGAACTCTTTTTTTAGGCTCTTCGATGTAGTGGACTTACTATTTTCGGTGTTTGTGGGTACCAGAATTGTTTTCTTCTTAAATATAGAACTAAGAAGAGACTTTGGAACACCGAGAAGTTTGGTTCTAATTTGTTCAAACATTTTCTCCCTTCCGCCAGAGGTGTCCTTTTTCGTACACCGGGTTGCCTTTGTACCCGGTGTATTTGAATATCTTGATCACCATTGTCGTAGGTGATACCCATACTTGTGCCCACAGTGGTTCGTTGTGCTTACGATGTATCCATTGTTGTTGTCCACAAGCGGTTTGTGCTCGTTTGCAGGGACCCGTTGTATCCATTACGAGCTCCTAAGAGTATTCGTAGTGGAGCCGTTGTCAACTTCGCCATATCCACCTTTCATTAATCTCAGGTGGGTAGACGATTGCACTTGCTTGTAGGGGTAGATCTTTGATTGCTGGTCTCCAGTATTGTCATCTCAATAACAGGCAATTATAGGGATTGTCGAGGAGTTCGCTGCATTCTTCTTTCGTGAGCATTAGGATTTCATTTCCCACTTGCAACTTGTTGTTTAGCTTGGACGACTGTGCACTTAGACTTTGATTGGTTCGTTCATCCAAAGTCCCAGTCTTATGTATTCAATCGGACCCGAATTCAAAGTTCCACTCATGCTTGAGTCTCACTTGTTGTCCTTGAAAGTTCAGGCTCCTTATTGTTCATGTCAAATTTGGATTTAGCTTGAGTTTAGAGTACAAGTTCAAGTGATCTTGTCTAATTCATGTCATTCTTCAAATTGAGTTCAAGTCTGAGTTCACTCGAGTTCGAGCTGAGTGCACAAGTTCACAGGTCCCTTGTATTCAATCCAGTTTGAATTCAAAGTGCGTGTTCAAGTACTCTTGCCATTTTGTTTGGTTCAAATTTGTAAGTCCTTACAAGTTCAATTATAAGTTCAAATTGATTTGGATTTGAGTTCATTTTGATTTTATTTTATTTGAGTTTGAACCTTTAGAAATCATTTAGAATTTGTTCAGGTCCCCTGCTCGTGTTCAATCAAGTTCAACGGTCCACAAGTCCACAGTTCATGTTCATTTGAGTCTAGGTCATTGTTCTTTGTTGCTCGTACAAGTACTTTGCACATCTTAATTCAAGTTCTGTTCATTTTTGTTCGAGTACAGGTCTTCTATATTGTTGCCCAAGAAGGTCTTCAAATTGTTCAAGTCTTTGTACATTTCAGTGAAAATTTCGGCAGCGCCTCGGCATATCCCCCGTTTGGGGGAAAATAGGGGAGCTAGGCCTTCCCACCACGCTACTCAAGCGTGTATGGTAGGTGTCCTCAAACACCGCGGCCGTAGTAATTTTCATCCCACCACGCTACAAGAGCGTGTATGGGGCCTTCAGCAAAACCCGTACGAGAACACCAGTGACTTCCCCACCACGCTACAAGAGCGTGTATAGGGCTCACCCACCTCGCCGTATGCTTCGCACCGGGCTCCCTCCTACCGTGTTACAAGAGCGCGTATAGGTGGTTCCCCGGTCCGCTGTAGACGTCGAAAATGGGATTTTAGGCGATTACCCACCTCGTCGTAGGCGCCGGACCGGATTTCCTTCCACCGTGCTACAAGAGCGCGTATAGGGGGTTTGTCGGTTCGCCGCAAACGACGAGAATGAGGAATCTGAGTTTTAGGAATTATACCTTGCGTAGCAGTCGTCGGCGATGTCGGCGTCGAGGTCGAGGACTGTCCCCACCACGCTACAAGAGCGTGTATAGGGCTTACCCGCCTCGTCACACTTGTTGCACCAGATTCCCCCCTAATTAATTATAATAACTTAATTATAATTAATTGTAATTAGTTATAATAAATCTAATTAATTAAAAATAACAATTATGATTAATTAAGATTAGTTAAGATAATTATAATTAAATATAATCCTTTTTCTTAGTTTTTACGGGATTAGGCCAAAGAAGCGTATGAAGGGTAGAAAGTTACCCTTACAGCAAGTGAGCTCCTCTGGTTGCCTCCAATCAAAATGTTTTAACTTTCGATCCAACATAAAGGGAAAGTCACAGACGGAGCGAAGTCGGACAGCAAAGGGAGGATCAGAGAAGCTCGTGCGACAGGGAGAAAGTTAATTCACAGCTGACGAGCCCGTTCTTGCCTCTGATCCGGCGGAATTACGTGATTTGGCCGAGCGGGGCGTGAAAGGGAGATAGTTACCTCCTCAGCCAACGAAGCTCCGTCGTTGCTGCTTCCGATCACAATGTGGTAACTTCCGATCGATCCAGAAGGGAATGTCGGTGGAAGAGCAAAGTCGAAAAGCAACGAACGAGCCAAGGGAGCACACGATCGGGAGAAAGTTAGCTTCGCAGTCGGCGAGCTACCATCATCACTTCCGATTGGGTAGAAGGGAAAGTCATCGAATGAGCTGAGTCGGACGTCTACGGAGGAGGGAGAAGCGGCCGAAGGAAGTTATCCTCACAGCAGCGAGTCCAGTTGTTGCTTCCGATCGGGATGTTGTGACTTCCAATCGACTCAGAGGGAACGTCGTCGAGCAGACAGGGTCAAACGACAACGAAGAAAGGAGCGAGAGAGAGCGGGAATCAGAGAGATCAGAGCGGAGAGATCGAGAGAGAGCGAAGACGTCCCGAATGCCTCGTTTATTCTCGTTTTAACGATGCAAGGATCGTGCGAGGTCGTGGGAGAAATGACGGGGTCGCTAGATTTACGGGATTTGAGCGGCAACGACATGCGATTCGACATTGAACAGGTACAAAGATATATATATTTTTTTTTTTTCAAATACGGGTCAACAGGAAGGCTGTCATTTTATGTGACCAAATCATCTAGGTGACTCTCTCTAATCTTATCTTCCACTAGAGCTACTCCAACCTTTTCACGTATATGCTCATTATGTATCCTGTCTTTAAGAGTAAAGCCACTCATCCACCTAAGCATTCTCATCTCTGCAACACTTAAAATTTTATGCTTCTCTTTTAATGACCAACATTTTGCACCATAAAGCATTGCAAGTCTCACTACCATCTTATAGAATTTTCCGTTAAATTTGAAAGGGACTTTTCTATCACATACCAAGCCCGATGTATTCCTCCACTTCAAAGAGATGTGACTGTTGTAGTTGTTACAAATTAGTTGTAAAAAAATGACTGCATGATTTGAGAATATACAAGGGAGGGTAGAAAATATATCAATAGGACAGATAAATTTGAATGGAGGGATTAGGAAGTAAAATATTTGCGTAGAATATGACTAATACCTATAGTGATACTAAACGGGAATGCATGAAAATTCACGATTCTTGTGGCCAACTTTTGGAATAAGGCCAATTATGATGATTAATTCATAATTTATCTGCCGACAGTCTTTAGCATTGGAGGGCGAGCTAGATTAGTTAAGTTTTTGGCGATGTGATGCGTTGTTGAAAAGGAAAAAATGTGGGGGCTACTTTTTAGAATTTTGAAAACATTATTTATTTTAGCTCTCTCAAAACTACAGTTTTTTTCATGCAGTACAATTTAATGTATTTGAATTCCAAAAAGAAGTTGCTTATTGCATTTTCTTTTACTCGTATTTATGTATTAGTTTTGTTTGGGAGAAAACTATTGCTATTTTAATTAACTTCGAGTCGATTCTGCTCGTCGTTTCTGTGGGCTTATTGGTGAGTCAATCAAGTGAGAAATTATTCTGTGCGGATTCCGGACTGTCCGGAGGCGAATCACAGTGCGCCACATCATCCGGTACACAGCGGTACCGAGCACCAGTATCCAACAAACATGTGACGTGATGCGTTGTGATTCACCTACGAACGGCATCCGGAATCTGCACATAATAATTAATACAATCATGTGGAGTTGCCAAACACATCTAGCATGGTGCCAGCATTTCTAGTGGGTCCTTTATTTTAATGACTATTTTTAAAATTTTTATTGTGTGAGTCAGTTGACCACTCTCTTCAGCTCCACCTCTCAGAAAGTATCTGAACTTCCATTTAGGTGCAAATAAGATCATGATGTCAGCTTGCATACTTACTCTGGAATCTTATTTAAAATGGTCTAAATTGAAGAATCATCTTCAATTGCCCTCTTTTTGGGGCGATTACATGCAGAACACTCAAAGCTTAGTTATTTACAAAACTAGCGCTCTCATCCCTCTTTTTTTTTATTTCACTTTTACTTGATTCCCAATCATTTGATTGTGACACATTCAAAGATGTGTGTGTGTGTATATATATATATATATATATATATATGCTCAGTAATTTAAAAAAATAACATTGGTATTATTACTTTTGTAAGTAGACATATTTGAGATATTATGTATGTAATTCCACCTTTTTCTAATGGATTTATCATTATGTTTATACCCTTCTTATGGATAAATTATTTTGTGCGGACGCCGAACACCATCCAGAGACAAACCAGAATGCGCCATGTCACCTCCTACTCGGTACCCAGCTCCATACTGCTTGATACTGTGACTCGGTACCCGGCTCGATACTACTGACGTGACGCATTCTGGTTGGTCTCCGGATGGTAAACTGTATTCGGCGTCCGCACAGAATAATCTCTCCTTCTTATGGAAGACATGAATCAATAATAGTTTATACTGAAAGTATCTGCTTAATATAAGCTGAACTGATCCCTCAACCGGCTGTTTTGTTTGTAGACACTAATAAAGAAAGATCGAAGCGAGCAGAATGATCCAGGAATGAATGAATTCTTTGATAAACTGAAAACTGCATATAATGATCCATCTCTTGCGCCTAAAGATCGATCACAGTATGCTGACGATCAAAACACTCCACTACTGTTCTCACTTGAATCTTGATCTTCATACTGTTTGTCTTTGCCAACTCAAACGCCATTATTTTGGAGCTTAACTGTACTAGGAGTTATCAGAGCTTAGCAATCAGGGAGATGAACTGCAGTGGTATTTCACCTTCAGTGCTTATTTTGATTGTTTTGTGCCTGTTTGCTCTTTGCTGAATGATTTTCCCCTTGTGTAAATTAGATTTGTTGTATCTATGAAATATTTCCATTGTTTTTTTCTTCATAAAAGATTGGTTGATGATGAAGTTTGATTTGGAGTTGATTTCTGCGTCTTTTTATCTCAATATCTGTGGGTTTTTTTTAATTTGGAAAGCCTCAGGCTTTTTTTGGGAGTTTCTGACCACTGTTTTTTCATTATTTTTAAGAAATTTTTATGATACTAAGCTGCAAGAAAATTATCCCAAATCATTAGTTCATTGTATCTGCATTTGATATTAGGGGATCTTTGATTGGAAAAAAAGTGAATGCAAAGTATAGTAAATGCATTACTTTTTTACTTTTTAGTATTTGTTTGGATGAAAATCAAATACAAAAGATAAAGTAAAACAAATGTAGTGTATTGGATTTTAATTCGTTTTTTAGATAATGCATTCTCGCCCAATTTGACCGAGACACAGACGATGGCCACCATTCCATTGCCACTTGTTGCCGCCCACCACTTGCCTCAGCCACTATTGAGGTGATTCTTTTTTCACTCATCCAAATAGCTGCAAAGTATTTTTTTTACATTGTATTTCTTTTTTTTTTTTTTGGGCAACTAAACATCCCCTTCATGTTTTTTACATTACTAATTACGCTGTTAGATAGTTCAATTATTGTTTTTTTAAGTTTGAAAAAGTGTAAAATTCCTATATACATTGGCAGGAAAGTTTAATAATGCTTTATCAAAATAGGTCCATTATAAAAATTTATTAAAAAATAGCTGTTGAGAAATGTGGCAAAGATCCTGTCACTAATTATTTTATTTAATGGCTCACTCACATGCTCTTCTAATATTTGAGTCTATCAATTATTTTATTTATTTAACAGCTCACTGTCACATGATCTAATAATTTATGACTCTAAATCTATTAATTAACCTTAAATTATGTCATTTAATCTCACCTGCACAATAATTATTGACCATCTTGCATGTGAACCCCCTATTTGTTTGTCTTACAACATTCTATTGGAGAAAATTTAGGTCAAAATATGTTGACCCAATTAGAACATGTTTAGGGTTTAGGATTATAATAATTTATAATTAATTAATTATAATTTATATTATATTTATCTTAAATAAATTTAATAATTATAATTTATCATCATCATCATATTTCAGTCATGTAATATTCATTTTATTAATGCTTCAATAACTTTATTTTTAAAATATTAATTTTTTTTTTAATTAATGTAATTATTGTAAACATTTGTCTCATTATTATATGCTTAAAGCAATTATATCATATATGCATGACAACAAAGCATGTAGTAGCTGAACAACCTTATGGGATCATGTTGATTTTGATCAATCTACTTTGAGATCTGTGCTTGATTAGAACATAAAATAAAATTATTCTTCAAAATTATTTTGTTCAACACATAATTGATCCCATGTTAGTTTGCCCATATTTTATTTTATTTTGTAGCTTGCTAAGATGTTTTAATCAATAATTAACAAAAAGTACATGTTACATTCAATATGAATTTTAGGGGTTTTTAATTGAAGAAAGATGGTTTTGAGAAGAATTTCTCAATTTAAAAGTGATGCCATATCTTCATTTGAATGTCTCCTCACAATGATATACATTACCTTTAGTATTGTATATAGTTTAACCTAAAAAGAATTTGAAAACCTATATAAGCTACTTAATTGTTTATTTAATGATAGTTCATTAGATAGAATATCTCAATCGAGTTTAAAGTCTTTTACCAATGACTATCGAAGAGTCTCAACGTAGGCACTTGCTGCTTTTTAAAGCAGCTTGTTAGTACAAAAAATTTAAATCCAAAAACAAATATATACTAGAAAACTGTTTTATAAAGCAATAAATAAGTTGTCCCAAATATAACCTTAATTTCATAGGGTTTGTTTGGGACGGCTATCTTACTCTTCTTAAAGCAGCTTTCTAGTACAAAATATTTTTTTTTTTGTACTAGAAACCTACTTTAAGAAGTAATAATAAAGCTGTCCCGAATGAAGCCATAATCTCATTAGTTTTTATTAAAGAGATCTTAGACATCAATATATGCAAGTGCAATTAGGAGCAAATTTTTCAATTTCATATAGATTAATATTCTAATTTATTTTACACTGACTTTATATATGTGATCGATATTTCACTTTTCTTATATTTTTACTTGTATTATAACTCATCTAATAAAAATAAGTGATAGATTTTTATTCTTTAAAAAAATAATTAAATTGTGCCTAAAAACAAGAGAGAGAAAAACTTCCATATTAAATGTTTTCAAATCAACAACAATAGATCCAATCTACTTACTCTCTATCCACATTTAATATAATTTTATTTTATTTTTTCTATCACCATCCTTAAATAATTTCATACTTATAAATCTAGGAACCTAATAGGACCCCAAAAAGAACAAAAATCACTTTCATATTAGAGAGAAATCACTTCAATATATGTGCTTTTCTTCTCACTTTGATTTTAAGTTCTCTTATTTATTGTTTTGTAGCCTTCCTTAATTAATTTGATAGCATCTTCTTGCCTAATGCTTAACTATCTCCATGACTATATTGAAAATATGAACTATATGATAGTCCAATATATTAAAAAAATTAAAAATTTTGATCAATAATTGTTGAATAGACATAAGTTCTTGAGTTAAAACCCTAAAATGAAGGATTAGAAGGGGCCAAATTCCTCAATAGATAAGGAAGAGAAATGCTTGCATTCAAATTGAAGATACCTTTCTCTACCAAATGAATTGACCACCTAACAATGGAATATATGACAACATGCACTTTACCAACCTTTTATAATAAGGCTTAAAACAGTTGGAAATGTTGAAGAAAAAAGGTGTAGAGGGAATAAGGCTTTTTGTGCATTAAAATTTACATTCTTTTTTTTTATTTATTTAAATAAGAGGGTCTTGCTAGCTAAGGTTATGTGCATTTCTCATAGATTTAGATCTCAATTGCTAAGGATTTTAGGTATATTGATTTTTAAGAATCACATATATCAATATTTGATTTGTTGCAAAATGAAAATTTTAAATGCAGTGTAATTTTGCTTCAAAAGTAGAAATAATTAATCACTTTAGTTGAATCTTACGGGGTGAACGGGACTAAGTCGGTCTCATCTGCCAATTAAGATATGTGGGTTTCAAAAACTCGCATCTAATTCGTCTGAAAGAGTTATACTTTTGATCAAATTTTTTGAAGACGGGTTAAACTGTTGATAAAATAACCTAAATATTTTTAAATGATTTTTTATATGCAAATAAAATATCACATTAGGCTCAAAATTATATCAACAAAAAAAATCTGAATCTACCAAGTCTAATCTAAATCATGAGAAATAAACAGTAAATATTAAGCCTATATATTAAAAACTTAATCTTAAAAATTTCTTCCTTTGAAAAAGAAACTTGTCCATTCAATCATATCCTACTGAATGTTCCATTACACATTCTTTTTAAAAATAATTTAAAAGTATTTTTAACCCTTTTTTTTAACACAATCTATATTTTAAAATAAAATAAAAAATTAAAAAAAAAAAACTAATTGATTTTTTAAATTTGATCACTTTTTTTCAATTAATTTGTTTGTTGTAGATTTCCAGCACAAATGTGTCCTTTTAATTCTAAATTATCAGCAATTCCTTATTGATGGATCTAACTTTAGTAATTACAATATATATTTTTTATTAATTTTAAGTAGAAACTATTTAATATCCTAAACAAATATATTTAATTGATTAAATTGATGTGATAAGCTAACTCTACCTTCCAATTCATGGATGTTTATCATTGTCATTAAGCAATTAAAATAGGGATTAATGATGTGTTAACAAACAAAAAACCCTTAGATGTTCTACCTAACATTGCATCTCTCTTTTAAATTTGGTGATAATTATAGCTAAATTATTGATTATATGATTTAGAAAAGGATGTTTGGTTTATGTAGGTGAAAGAGTTGGCCATTTCTCACTTGTCATAATGTATGTTGCTATGTTACCTTTTTTTTTTTTTAATTTGAAGTTCTTTAATTGGCTAAGCTTTGGATTAGGTTGCATTTTAAAAGAAGTGACCAAATCATAGATCATGGGTATATTTGACCATTGTATCTATGCAAGACATTTTTAAATTGTCTATGGATAGTTTTTTATTTTGGTTTTATTGTTGATTTTCTTACTGCTTCTTAAAGCAACTTTCTAGTACTAACTTTAGTTTTTGTACTAGAAAGCTGCTTTAAGGAGCAATAAGAAAGCAATCTCAAACGAAGCCTTAGGCTATTTTGATATTCCAGTTATAATTGTTGCATATGATATTGGGATGAAAAGCTCTCTCCTTTATCATGTGATTTTGTAAATCATTTTGTTTTATGAGTTATTTTCTTGTGATTATCTCCATTTCTTTTCTATTTTTTGCATATGGATGTTTTTTTTTTTAATTTTTATTAAACATGATATAATTATTTTTTATCTCCTTATTATTATTATTATTATCTTTTTACAATAATTTTTTGGGAAATCACATTGCCTTAACATCATAGAATAAGTTTAGAAGACATCAATAATTTATTTCTTTTAAGAAAATAATTTCTAAGCTAAATGTATATGATAATCCAATCAAAGGTTTCTTGTAGGTCAAAAGGAAGATTCTATAAGAAATAGTCCACCTTTACTTAAAGCAAGAGAATTCTTATGAAAAATTAAGTAGCTCATCAACTATTATTACAAAAAAGAAATAACACATAAAGAAGAATTGAGCATAAACATAAGGAAGAATATAAACATTCATAAATCACAATAGCAATTACATATTATGTACTTTTAGTCCACGTTTGGGAAAGCTTTCTTACTGCTTTGTAAACATTTTTTTAGTGCAAAAATTCTTGAACTAAAAATTTTTGTACTAAAAAACTGTTTTACAAACCAATAAGTAAAATATCTCAAACGAAGCCTTAGTTCTCAACTTCATAACAATCAATATAGACAAAGTATTATATTTGTCACTCTCTCTCTCTCTCTCTCTCTCTCTCTCCCTCTCTCTCTCCCTCCTCTCTCTCTCTCTCTTAAGGCTTCATTGAAGCTGAATTATATAAATATTAATATGTTTATGTGTGATCAATCTCCTTTAATGTTCTGTATGGTCCATCATTTTACTAAATATTAATATTTCCTTAATGTAAGTAAGTTAGATGTGCTCTCTTTTCTTGATAGATACTTTCCTAACCGCTAGCTCTTAATGATTAAGGTGACACTCCTCATTAGTAAAAATGACACATTATTTGTGTCATATAGTTAGAAAAGATTTATCCAATGATATCATTTACATTTAAAGTTTATAAAAATAACCTAAGAAAATATTAATATTTAATAATATAATTTGTATCTAAAATTTTTTCTTTCTCTTATTGAAAATTCCCAATAATTAATGAAGAACAAATAATTATGTAATAACTAATTGAGACTAATAATCCATAAACTTTGGTAATTACTCAAATTATAAAGTCACATTTATTTCCTAAAGCTATTCTCATCAAAGAAACTAATTGCTCTTTTGGCAAAGCTTAAGAGGATTGTTCATTAACAAAATAAAATCTATCAATTTTTATTAAAAAAAATTATTGCAAAATATATATTTTTAGCTTTTTTTTTGGAAAATAAAATTCAGTAATTGTTCCAAAATATAAAAATAAATATATATAATATTCGTTAAACATTTTTATTTTTTTCAATTTATCATAACTTCAAGCTGATTTTAAATCTTGACCATTAAATTTGGCTTTTTAAATTAATTTACCACTATTTTATTTATTTTTATTTTTTTTGGAGAAACTCAGCTTTCATATTTATCCTACAAAAACAAAAGTTATAAAGAGTCTTCATTAGCTTTATTCCAACTTTGTGGGAATTTTTTTTATCTCAAAATTACATATTCAAAGATAATGTGTAGATAAGTAAATTAATAAAGATGACTTTTAGCATTTTAATTTATTTTAAAATAAATAAAATATATATTATAATTGATTAATAGTATATTTTATTTATTTAAAAATTAATTTAAGACTATAAATCCATTTTATTAGGAATTTGTATATTAAAATATAGGAATTTTATAAATCCTAATAATATTTTAAATATATAATTTTACTTTTACATCATTTAAAAATTAATATTACCTTATTTTAAATATTTACTATTTAATTAAAAAATATTTAAGTGATCGACGTGTTAAGAGCGTCAATAAAATAATTTAAAATAAATAACGTAGAATAAAGAATAATCTCACCCTTAAAAAAATAAAAAATATTTATCACTCTCATTATTCCATCACTAACCATTAAAATTAACAGAGAGAAAGATAAACAATTGAATATGTATTTAATAATATGTTTACATCACCCAAAATTATCTTCAAATAAATTTAGATTTTTTTATAGATAGAGAAATATCAAAAATAGGCTTCAAAATCATTGGATTTACATTGAGATTATTGGTAAAATTTTTAAAAGCTTTTGTTAAGATCTTGCAGGCTTCATTTGGAGTGGCTTTTTTACTATTTTTTAAAATAATTTTTTAATAAAAAATTAAATTTTTTAACTAAAAATTGATTTAAAAATTAAAAAAAAAAATTGTCCTAAATAAAGCTTGAATCCTACATACATATTTGTACTCCGAACACTCAAAATTCCATTAAAAATAAAATTTAAAAAAAAAAAAACTTTAACTCATGCAAAACAAAACAAAACTATTTTTATATTGTTTGAAAGGAGAAATTATTCTAGGCTGAGGCCTGAAGTAGCTCTACGTCCGGATGCGAATCAAATACAACCACGTCAACGGTACTGAGCTATACTGAGCTGTGGTACCGATTGAAGATGTGACATGACACATTCTAATTGATCTCTGGACAACATTCGCCAATCGGCATCCGCATATAATAATTAATGATATCAAAGAGCACAACAAAATGAATAATATTAAAAAATAAATCATGACTGTACAAAAACTTTAATGGTAAAAATTGCCTTCAAGTCTAATTTTTAGGTTTGTTGGCTCAGCAGTAGTTGGCCTATCATTTACCTAACTCCCACATCCTAAAACTTCCACATAACCAAATCCAAGAACCCCACAGACTCCTAAAACATAGCAATATAAAGCATTAGAGACCTCAATCTTTCCCTTCACTTTGAATCAAATCTTCTTCCCATCTTCTCCAGATCTCTCCACAGCCATGGAAAAGGCAATCAAGATCATAAGAAGCTCAATTCATTCCTACTTCTGCAACTACCAGACCTTTGCCTCCCTTGCAACAATTCTCATCTTCCCTGCCTCTGCTGCCACTCTCCTCTCCACATCTCTCATTCCTTTATATTCCCCCACTTCTTCTTCTTCTTCATCATCATCAACTCATCTTACTTCCATCTCTCACCGCCTTCGCTCGCTCTTTGAAGCAGCAAGCTTCCCTCTCAATTCTCACCTCTTTGACATTCTCTGCCTCAAGCTCTCACAAACAATCCTCTCCTTCCTCCTCACTCTCCCCTTCACACTCACCTTCTTTACTCTATCCAAAGCATCCATCATATTCGCCGCCCGCGAATTCCCTCGATACCGCCATGCCTTACCTTCCCTCTCCTCAATCCTCCATCTTTACCCTCCTCTTCTACTCACACATCTCTTCACCATCTTCATCATTCTCTCTGCTAACGTAGCTATCTTCTCAATGTTCTTAATAGCATTCTTCGCCGTCGGTGAACTCGGCCTCACCTCTAGAACTTCAGTTCTAATGCTATCAGGGCTTGCCACCATACTATACTCAACAGTCGTCGCAAATGTATTAGTGATTTGCAATCTTGCAAGCATAGTTTCAGCAATGGAGAACTGTAGTGGCTACACAGCAGTTCTGAAAGCTTGTGTGCTAATCAGAGGAAGAGCTGCAGTTGCTTTATCTCTGGCATTCTGTTCAAATTTGGTCATGGCTGCAACAGAAGCTCTATTTCAGATTAGAGTGATGAGGATATATAACCAACATGGAATATTTGATCTGTCTCTTATGTTTGAGGCTTTCACAATAATTTATATGTACTCCATTCTCAGTGTACTAGATATTATCATCAGCTGCTGCTTCTACAAGAGTTGCAGGTATGAATTGTTAGTAAAATATGAAGGTCAGATTGCTAGAGTTAGAGAATTTGAATCAGAAGAGAAGAACGATCTGAAAGCTTGATGTATCAGTTTGTTTTCTGAAGAAATGTACAGAAGTTTTTACGATGGATTGAGGGTTGATAGAATGGTAAATTATACAGTATGTAAGAATGACTTTTTCAAGATTTTCCTCTTCATCCCTTAGTCTTTTTCCCTGTTTTATGATGATTTAGAAATCTTGAACATTGATTTGTACAATGAGGACGATCAATTTTTATAAAGCCCCTCCTCCATCATTGTAATAGCTAGAAAGTTGTTTTAAGAAGCACTAATAAAACTGTCCCAAACGAGGTCGATTACAGTGATGATTTTAACTATCTTTTGAAGGAGTTCAAACGCCTCCTACTTAGATTAGTGGAAGAGTAATAAAATGAATACTTTGAAGTTTGTTTGGATTAGTGAAAGAGTAATGTTAGATGAGGGTTTCATGAAGGAGATGGTTTCATATTATTATAAATTGTTGAGTTCAAAATGGTCTTATGATTAAAGATTTAGGTTTCACTTAAAACTATTTTCTTACTATTTTTGAATCAGCTTTTTAATACAAAAAATTCTTAAATTAAAAAAATTTGCATTAAAACACTTTCAAAAAACAATAAAAAAGTCATCTTAAATTTTAATTTTTAATTTTTAATTATCATTTTGATTTTTTATTTTTATAATACATTCATTAAATAAAAAATAAAAGAAATTATCATTTTTAAATGCTAAAAACATTTTGAGATGTTTTTAATTATTTTAATTTTTTTGTTAGCTAGAAATCATATTTAAAATAGTATTAATATTAATTTCTTTTAAAAACAATATTTTTAGTTTGATTTTAAAATTAAAATTAGATAAATAAATATAAAATTTAAATATTAGCATGTAATGGCTAGTTACAAATAAGCTATCACTGTCTGATCTACAACAAAATATATGATTAATATTCAATAATATCATTATATTTACTTTTAACATGAATATTATTTATAACTAATAAAAATTTATATTACAATTATCTTAAATAAAATCTAATGATTATAAAGTCTATCATAAATAATATCTTTTTTTTTTAAATTGAATTGCAGATGACTTTGTAGATAAAAGTGGACACCTGCACATAATATTTTATTTTCTAGAATTAAATTTCAAACCATCACTGCGTAGATAAAGGACACCTGCACATACTAAGATTTTGTTTGGGACTTCTTTCTTGCTGCTTTTAAAAGCAATTTTTTAGTAAAAAAATTCTTTAAACTACAAAAATTTTTGCTAAACGGGTGCTTCCGAAAGCAGGGACGGCTTTTTTATTACTTTCTAAAACGGAGTTTTAGTACAAAAATAAAAAAAATTATACTAAAACTCCATTTTAGAAAGTAATAAAAAAAACAGTCTCAAACTAAGCCTAAATATGTGCGCAGAATTTTTGGATTATGTGGTAATCCCTTTGGGGTTTTGATGTCCTAAAATCTGGGTCTTCAACAAGAATTCTTATTACGTCCAGTGTCCGGACCGTCCGGACATCAATCCAAACGTGCCATGTCACCCAGATACACCCAAGGCCTAGTGTATCTGGGTGATGTGGCGCGTCTGGATTGTTGTCCGGACGGTCCGGTCACCGGACGTAATAATTACTCCTTCAACAGTCACATCTCACAGAATTTTTGGAAGTTTATCATCATAAAGATCATACAATTATAAGAACAAGACACAATCCCAACACTTGAAAACAAGAAATTTAGGCTTCGTTTGGGATGGCTTTTTTACTGCTTCTTCAAGCAGCTTTCTGGTATAAAAATTTTAATTTTTAAACGAAAAAGCTATTTTAAGAAGCAATAAAAAAATAGTCCCAAACAAAACCTTAATTTCAGCAAAATATTCAGGAGTTCTGATGACTACAGCATTAATGAATTACAACCTAACAATTCTTAAAACAAGACAAATCCATTCAACACAATGAAGAAGATGAAATCCTTAAAACGATGAAAACCAAAAGAAAATTTGTTCCATCTGCATCTTCTTGCTACAGCATTAATGAATCACAAACAATATTAACATTCAAGCAAGTTATCAACGCCTGACCTGCAAGCTTTCTGATGATGACGATACCTTGCGTTCATTCTCCATACTTGCACGGTCCGAGTTGATGAGCAAGTTGCTCCAGTTGACAGATCTGGGTATAATTCCTGAAGGAATCTGATCACTATCTTCTCCACCAGAAGCATCATAGCCATCACTGGTAGACCTTGAGAGAAGAATTCCACCATATACAGGTGTGCCTGAAGATGGAAGAAGACACTTAAATCCATGTGTCTCTTCAGCTGCTGAAGATGAAACGCCAAATGGGTGGATATCAGGAGAGCCTAAACTGCTATCAGGGGAAAAAGTAGCAATCCCTGAGGCAGACATGGCTTTGCTTGTTGTGAAGGCACTCCTTGCTTCAAGTTGCAGAGGCGCCAACTTGCTAGATTTACTGTTTTTGGTAGTTTTGGAAGATAATTTTGTGAAGCAATCGATGGGGAGATCTGTGTTTGATCGGCCTCTGTTGTTAGATTGGTTCCAGATTTCGAGCTTGGGAAGGAACCTACCACTGTCGCTTCCGAAGCTGCTATCGGTTTCCTGTCCTGGTGGCAAGTCCTGTCTCACAATTGGCTTTAAGATTCTTGATCTTTTCCTGGCTTCTGCTGCAGCTTTTGAAACTTCTTCTGCGTTGAGCCTTGCGAGTGTCCAAGGACTAATCTTCACAGTAGCATTTTTTCTCCTCGACTCTGCCACTACCTTCTTGCCAGCAAAATGTGTGGGCATGGTTGTTTCTTGAGGAACAACATCAAACTGGAATAGGGAAATGATCTTACATTATTATTCAATTTAAAGATGTTATAAGTTGGTCCATTTTGGAATAAAATGCTGAAAGCAAGATTAATTGCACAAAATGAAATAGTTATTTTTTCAAGTTATGTAAATGAAATATAATGTTTGAGAGATAAAACTATTTGCTCAAAAAAGTAATTATTGGAATATAACATTATTTTTAACTAGTAAATTATAACAAAATATGTTTAAAAAAGCAACCTAATGTGTTGATTCAATTGAACCAAGACAATCATTCGGCATATGCCCCTCTAAGATGGTGATGGGGCGGTCTGAGTGGAGAAGCAATTATGTGTGTGTGTGTGTGTGTGTGTGTGTGAGAGAGAGAGAGAGAGAGAGAGAGAGAGAGCATGTGAAGGAAGAGAGAACGAGGGGAGGCCAAGTGAGCAAAGAAGTGAGAGCGAGTGCAAGGGCATTGAGCCAAGAGTGAAGCTTGCGGGCGCATGAAACTGCATGTGAAAGGAAAGTTTTAAAGTTTATTTCTTCTTTCTCTTCCTCCTTTATACCAAATAATATAAAAACCAACCTAGCCTTATATATTCTTGTCGTTCATAAAATGAATTAGATCCATAAATATAGCCAATACTATACATGAAGATGTTGAGGATCAAATTGATTCCATGGTATTCTTGGCTCTAGCGACATCTAGAGAATTAGGAGAGAAAGATCCTCCTCTCGAATAGAGGATTCATTGTATCTTGTTATTTTCTTCTAATTTATCATTAATTACTATCATCTATTTGTTGTTTTCCTGAGTTCGATTGGAGATTTGTGGTGAAATCCCGTTGAAATTCAGATTTCTTGTAACATTGTTTGAGAACTACAAGGGTCTCCTATCAAATTGGTATCAAAGCTACTTTTCGGGGTTGTTTTGCAGGTGTTTGATCTGATTCCTACAGCAGTTTGCCTTGTCCGAACAATTATTCTTGCTGTTTTTTGGGTGGAAATACGGATTTTTGAGTCTAACAAAGATCAGGGTATCAATGGCGGCCAAGAAGATGGATACGTTGGAAGAATTCCTTGAGTGGGGAGATGAACAAAATCAAAGCAACAGTGGAAGACAGAATTTCCTCTATAGAAGAGCAATTCTCTGACCTACTTGATATGGTGAAGAAGATGTTGGATCTCCACAACCAAATGGCGGCATCGGAGGCGAGAGGTCCGGAAGGAAAAAATACAAATTCAAAAATTCATTGGTTGGAATGAAAATGATGTGGAGATCGTAGAGGAAGAAGGAAGAAAATCCCATCTGAAACCTTTCCAGAGGGAGGAGAGAGCTTGAAGGTATGGAGAGAGGCGTGGATATATGGGGTATGAGCAAAGGGGTGATGATTGGTAAACAAATGAGGGAGATTATGGTCAGAGAGGTGCTGATTTTGAAGGAAGGAGGGGGGAATTCGAAAAGGGTTTGGTATGAACGTGAAAGGGAGGATTGGGACACTTGGGGGACCACCAACTTGGGAAATGGGAAACTATGGATGAATAGGGGGAAATGATGGGGATCCGAAGGTAAGGAAGTTGAAGATGCACATCTTTGAAGCGGATGATGCATATGGGTGGATTTACAAGGAATATAGATATTTCACCGTCAATTGGTTGACGGAAGAGGAGAAATTGATGGCATTTGGCCTATGTTTGGAAGGGAAGGCATTGGCTTAGTACCAATGGAGAGACATGAGGCGATCCATATGGTGTTGGAGGGAGTTCAAAGAATGCTTTGGAACGTTTCCAAACTGATTGGGGATGGGAGTTCTATGAGCAATTATTTTCCCTAGTACATGAAGGCTCAATGTCAGAATACCGCAAGAGATTTGAGTACCTGGTGAGTTGACTGCATTGAATGTCGGAGACTGTTCTGGAGGGGAATTTCATAAAGAGGCCTAAGTTATATATTCGAGCAGCAGTGCGAGTCATGAGGGCTCGAGACCTGGGAGAGGCGATGGAGCAAGCTCAGCTGGTGGAGGATCAAAAGTACCAAGAGAGGGGAGCCAGAAGCAGCAATTCAGGTGGTTCATACAGGATAACCACCACACTCCTAGTACCCAAGGGGCCTACACCGAGCAACATTCGAGAGATTCAAAGGGAGAAGCCTTTAGGAGGAGAAAGTGGGAAAATTTTCAAAAAAACTGACTGAGAGGCAGGTGGAGGGAAAAATGATTATGTTTCTAATGTGACATGTAGTATACTCCGAGGCACAGGTTCAAAGATCGACTCTTTAGGTTCTCATCGTTTATAATGACGAGAAAACTGAAGAGGGAGGTGGGAGTGAGACCGGGGTAAAGGATGATAAGCTGCATCAGGATGTAGCAGAGGTCTCCCTGAACTCAGTGGTATAATTTACTCCTAGCCATACCATGAAGTTGTAGGGAGAAACAGCAGACCGATAGGTGGTGGTGTTGATTGACAGTGGGGCTACCAACAATTTCATCTCCAACCAAGTTTTGGACCAATTGGGGGTGACATTGGTGGATATATGGAGCTATTGAGTGATGATGGGCACGAGGAAGGTGGAGACGTGTAAGGGCATATACAGGGGAGTAGTGTTAACTATATAGGGGATTCATGTGAGGAAGGATTTTCTCTCATTGGAGTTAGGCAGCACTGATGTCATCCTGGGGATAAAGTGGCAGCAGACCTTGGAGAATACCAAGGTTAACTGGGGGGACACTGACCATAGAGCTAGTAGTGGAGGGAAGAAGAGTAGTGATCAGGGGAGATGCATGGCTCTCCAAAGCTATGGTATCTCTCAAAACCATGGTGAGGAGCATACAGGAGATGGGGGGAGGATTCCTGGTGGAGCTACAAAGATTAGAGGGGATTAGATTGGAGGGTGGAGATATTTCTCCTACAGTACAGTCGCCGCTGATATAGCAATTCAATGAGGTCTTTCAGCCACCTCAAGAATTGCCACCGCAATGGGAATAGAACCATGTCATCACCCTGAGGGAGGGGGTGTCACCCATCAGTGTCAGGCCATACTGTTACCCTTAATTTCAGAATGATGAAATTGAGAAATTGATCAAAGAGATGCTGGAGGAAGGTATTATCCGGCCTAGTGTGAGTCCTTTTTCTAATCCAATCTTACTTGTTGAGAAAAAGGACAGAAGTCGAAGATTCTGCGTAGATTACAAGGGTTTGAATAAGGAAATCGTGCCAAACAAGTTTCTTATCCCAGTGATAGATGAGCTATTGGATTAGCTGAGTGTGGCAGATATCTTCACTAAGATAGATCAGAAGTTTAAATACCATTAGATCCGCATGAAAAAGGAGGATATGTCAAAGACTGCTTTCAGAATACATGAGGGACATTATGAGTTCCTGATGATGCCTTTTGGCCTCACTAATGCTCCAGCTACCTTCCAATCCCTAATGAACATGGTGTTCAGGCCCTATCTCAAGAGATTTGCGTTGGTTTTCTTTGATGATATTCTGGTGTACAGCAGGTCAGGTGAGGAACATTAGGAGCACTTAAGGGTTGTCCTAGAGGTGTTGCAGAAGCAGCAGTTGAGGGCAAATAGTTGAGATGATCAATGCCCAAGAATTTGAGGGATTTGAGGAGATATCTAAGGCTGACAAAATACTGCGGGAGGTTCGTGAGGGACTATAGCATCATCGACTAGCCACTGATAGAATAACTAAAGAAGGATAACTTCTTATGTGGGGTGGGGCACTAACAGCTTTTGAGAGGTTAAAGAAGGTAATGACCACCATATCGGACTTGGCCCTATGATGTAGACAAAGGGGGGGTCAACACAAGTCCAAAATAAATCAAATTTTAGCTTACCTTGAGTCTAGTAGTTCATCATATTTGAGCTAAACTTTTAGTTCATTTATGAGCTGAACTTTAGTTCATTTATTGGAATAAGGGTTAGCTCATTATGAGCTAACATTTTAGTTCATTTATTATCTTTTAATTAAATGTTTTTAGGCTTTTTATGTTATAGTCTTTTGGGTTTCCAATGGGACTTTTGGAATCCCAAGTGTAGTGTTTAGTATTCCTATGTATGAACCCTTGGTTTCCACCAAGGTTTTAAGATTTTTATGTTTGCCTCTTGGGATCTCACGGCTGTCTTTTGAAGTGAAATGTTATTTTTGGAAAAGTTTTAACCTGCGGGTTGGCTTTGGAAATCCTGCGGGCTCTTTCCACCCTTCTTTCTCATCCCCTCAGGAAATCCTGCGGGCTCTTTCCAACCTTTCTTCTCGGGCTTCTAATCTCTTTCGTCTCTCCGAAAGTGCCACTCCACATGTATCCTTCTTCTGTAAGTGAAGCAACTTTAGGGTGTTGTCATTTTGTTTGCAAGAGTTGTTTGTATTGTTGTAAGTTTTCTTTTGTTTAGTTTAATTTGAAATGTAAGAGTTTGTTCGTCCTTTTTTTCATCCCTTTAGTCTTTTCATAAGTAGAAGTCCGTCTCTCTTTTTTTTTGTGATCAAAAAATATAGGGTCCCTATATTTTTTTATTACGTCACCCTACCATCTTTTTTTTTATTACATCACCCTACCATATTTCAATTAGATTTTTGTAGTGGAAACAAACGCAACAGGGTATGAATTGGGAGCAGTACTCATGCAGAGCCACCGACTCATTGCTTACTTCAGCCAGGTGTTGACATCTAGAGCTAGGCTGAAGTCAATCTATGAGAGGGAGTTGATGGCCATTGTACTAACCATCCAAAAGTGGTGACCTTTTTTTTTATCCAAAAGTGGTGACCTTACGTGTTGGGATGACATTTCATTGTCAGAACGGACCAGCGGAGCCTAAAGTACTTGTTGGAGCTGAAAATGGTGACAGAGGAACACCAAAGGTGGCTGTCAAAGTTATTGGAGTATGACTTTGAAATTCAGTATATGTCAGGGATAGAGAACAAGGCGGCAGATGTCTTGTTCAGGTGTATGGGGGAGCTCTAGGATATGGCAGTATCAATACTGATGATGTTAGATTAAGGGGCCATTGAGAAGGAAA